GGGGGGTACTAGGTAGGGGAGAGAGATGGGTTTTGGTTGAGTGGATGAAGTGGACTGCTGACGCTGCTTGCTGGTCGAGCCGTGGTTGATCCTCTCTTTCGCTTTGGTTCCGCTTTTGGTTTCGGCTTTGCGGTTCGCCTTCGCCTTCACTTTCACCCCCGCCCGTGCGCTGTTGGATATCAATCTCATGACTTTCACTTTTCCTCTTTCTTTCTTTCTTACATTTACGACCTCTCACGACACCTTATGACCCACCTATCCCACCTGTCACTACTGTCCGTCCATCCCCTTGTTCTATGCATAATATCCCGCTTTTATTATCTAACTTGAAGTATCAAGTAGTAGTATGTAGGCTCGCTATTCCTCTTCGTTCCCGCTGTTCGCTTTCCTTCTCGTCCCATCCCATCCTTCTCCCCTTGCATTTTTTCAAACCTCGCACTTACATCGACAACGGATTCTCGCACGTACATTGGATTTGCATGCATCTCGGAACGCACCCATTCTCGCACATTGGATACAGATACCGCACGTTCGCATTTTGATACCTACCTACCTACCTCACCTCTTGCATCGTCCTGTTCACGTTTACATAGCACTAGCACTAGCACTACATACATACTTACTCGCATTACATCCGGAACTCGCAATGTCACTTCGGATTACCATACTCAGACCACACTACAGTGTCAATCTCAAGGACGTGCCCCCATCCAGGAAAGGGAATAATTCCCTAATTCGCATCCGTAGCCGAGACGAGAAGATTATCTAAGCTCCTGATCTTTCCACATTGACTCACAGAGGCCCTGGCAGCGGCCCTCAGCAACGCCACTCTACCTCACCATCGCCCATCTCCCGCATGTGCATCATCCTGACGTGCTGTGACCTACCTACATCACCGACATCATCCACAACACTGCCAGCACATCTCTGGACCCGCATCATCATCTACATACCATAACATAACGATCCTCCTTCCGTCCTGTGCTCAACGCTCCATTCCAATACAGACCGGAACCTGATGGTCCAATAATCAACACGGGCTGGATACTCTGCTCATCGTCTGCGGGCCTGCGGCAGGCCCCAGCAAGCAAGGCACACGTATTCCAGGCTGCCGGAGATAAGGGGCCTGCAGGCTACATGCTGCCCTGTAACAGTCTAACTTACAGGTGACGGACGGTCGACGGTGCACCGCCACGGGGTCGATACCATTACCCTCAGATGCCATAAATTGCGTCCCTTGCCCTCTTAAAACGCCCGCTCGAACGAACGACACCGGTCAGATATAGACGCCCATTCTGATGATATCTACCGCTACGCAACCATCCTCAAGCGACGGAACGCCGGTGATACATCTAGGACGCCAGAGGCCAGGGGGGCTATTATTGTTGTTTCTAATTCTCCGCGCAGGTGCCGTTCTGGACAGGCTGTGTTAGTTAAATTTCGGTGTTGCGTTCGTCACGGTGGATACGCTTCGCACACACCATTCGTTAGGCTGCTGTGACCTTACGGAACTCAACGTGCACGGAGAGGTTAAGTATACGTAGGGATGTGTGCAGGCAGCGTGCCACCCCCTTACATCCCTCCATCCTCTCTGTAGTCCTCCCTTACCCCCCTCCTCCCTCTTCTCTTCCTCCCTCGATTCCTCCAAGTCCAGCTTGATTTGACGAGGCTACGAGGATGATGTACAGGACCATCTCAACTCTGCTTACGGTTCTGCTGGCACTGTCAGAGGCGAGGACCTCCGCACATGGCCTCAAGCTACCCTTCGAACGGCGTGCGCCGCGAGGGGCTAATATGCGTTCTCCTCGCGTCGCCACGCGGTATTCATTCAGCGCAAGCACACAGAAGGAGGACATCACGAATATTGGGGACATTCGGGTGGGTCGTCTCAGCTTCTCCGTGCTGGAACCAACCGCGAGCTAACGTTCGATGTCAATGGGCGGCAGTACATCGCGAACATCACCATCAATGGCGTCGGTGGGTCATCTCTTCCTGACATCTTGCTCGAAGAAAGACTAAACATAGCACTCTCACTATTCCAGTCGTCCCCGTCGTGCTCGACACGGGGAGTACGGATCTCTGGGTCATACCCCCAGGCGGCATTGGCGCCTTCAACGGCACCGGCATCCCCCTGGAACTGCTATACGGTGACGGAACCTACGGCGTCTCGGGCACCATAGGCATCTCGCCCTTCAGCTTCGGCACCTACTCCATCGCACGGCAGGCGTTCATGAACGCGCGCACGTCCACGATCCTAGGTATGCAAGAACTCGGCGTCTACGGGATCTTCGGGCTCAGCTTCGACTTTGGGTTCGCCTCGCCCATCAACACGAAGATCCAGAGCCTGTACGGGAATGAGGCGACGTGGGGCGCGTCGGTGCTGAAGAACATCTTCGAGCAGCACCCCGAGCAGCCGAACTTCGTCGCGCTCGAGCTGGGGCGCTCGGAGGACCTGGAGGATACAGATGGGGGCGAGTTCACGATTGGCGAGTATGCGCCAGAGCATGCGGTGGTGGCGAATGCCACAAAGCTGGCGCAGTACCCGAAGGGAGGGAATCGGTGGACGACACTGCTCGAGGGCGTATATGTGGAAGGAGAGGCGATTGCGGTGGGCTCGGACATACCGGGCGTTCCTGCGGGCCATGCTCAGGTGCTGCTCGATACGGGAGATCCGAGCGCCATTCTCCCGACGGCGACTGCCAATGCGATTTATTCTCGTGTCCCTGGCGCTGCTCTGTATGAGGCACCTACGGGCGAACACATGTGGATCGTGCCATGCAACACCACTACGCTTGTTGAGCTTTCATTCGCGTGAGTTCTTGGGCGTCTGTTCGTCGTTTCATTCATTTGATCTCCTTTCATATTCAGTGGCCAGCGCTATCCAATCCACCCTCTCGATCTCACCACCCTGACTGACCCCATCGAAGTGAACGGCCAAGAACGCATTGCCTGTGTGGGCGCACTGAAAGGCGTCGACGCATGGGGCGGGAACGAATACGACATGTCGCTCGGCGACAGCTTCCTCCGGAACGTCTACTCCGTGTACGTACCCCATTTTCTCAATTTCATCACCTTCATTTATCCTTCCCTCACTCCAGCTTCGACTTCGGCGACCCCCTCCCTGACGGCTCGACCGGCGAGCCTTACATGCAGCTCCTCTCACTCGTCGACCCAACAGAGGCGGTCTCTGAGGTAGCCACCATCCGCGGCAAGACCCTCGCGACCCTCCCGCCAGAGATCGATCCCGCGACCCTCGTCCGCATCCTCACCGGGACCGACGCGCCTTCTCCTTCGGGTACGAGCGGCGCGCCGCCCATCGAACCTACTGATGGCAGCAGCCCGGAGTCGAAGGCGAAGGAAAAGCCTATCCTTGGCGTTTCATCGCCGTCGGTGGGTGAGGAAGGGGTTGGACTCGCCGTGGATGGGGAGACGTTCAAGAAATACGCGCTGGCGGCCATATTGCTCCTTGCTGCGAACATCGTGATTGGGCTCGTGCTGATCGTGTTCGCCGTCCTCGGATGCATGCGCAGAGGAAGTGCGGCTTCGAGAAAGAGCTCGGTAAGGGCAGTTGCACCGCAGTACGCGCCCGTCAAGTTGGAGGAGGAAGGGTATTCGGGGCACTATCAGCAGGGGTATAAACACTAGTGATTGATTGAGTTGTGCGTTCTCAGGTTGTGACTTTGGTTTTTGCGTTCTCGGATTTTGACGTTGGTTGTGTTGACAAAAATGCTTTCATGGACATGTATTTCACGATTATTATGATGTACACTGTTGCCAATGCTATCGAAGTTTAGTTCAAGTTACTTCTATCCTCGAACATTCACGAAGAGATACCATCACTGGCTCTCCGAAGGGGTTCCAATAGACAAATCAAGTGAAACGATGGAGGGCGACTAATCCTACTATACATCATCACCTTCAGATTGATGAAGTGGTCCTTTCGTCTTCTTGCTTTAGAGGCTGGCAATTGCTTCCGTCGGGTCTCTCGACCCGTTTTAGGGAAAACATACCCAATTTGGAGTCGCCAAGCCATCGCCAGCCCTCTCATATGAATCACACAACAAAAAGGTGGTAGCGTGATATGATTTGGTTTTGCACGTGCATAGCGCATGTACAATCGAAAAAAGAGAAACGCAATAAAGAAAAAGAACTCGTAATATACATGTTTTTAAAAAGAAGAGAAGCAGGAGGGGAAAGATGGTTCACACAATGACACAAGTCACGCAAATCACGCAATAGGCGAAGAGGGGAAATAGCCTCAGCCATAAAATAAATGGTACTTCTGGATCTTGAGAGCCGATCTCGTGATTCGAGGTCTTGAAGTCTTGCTTGGCTCGCCAGTGTTGATGAGAAGTCACGCAACAGTTCGGAGGGAAGGGGAGAGTGGAGAAAAGAGGAAGAAGAGAGAGAACTTAGAGAAAGAAAAAAAGGGAAAAAGGGAGGCAGAAAGTTGAGAAAGTGAGAAAGTGAGATGAGAAAGTGAGATGAGAAAGTGAAAGTGAAAGTAAGAAAGAGAAAAGAAGCACAGGAAACACAGTGGAGGGACCTGGAATTTCGTCAGACTTGACAGTAATTTAGAATGGAAGCTCGCGTACCCTTATGCCAGCCTCCACGAATGAAGTCTGCTTGTGTCCATTGTATGCAAGACACCCCTCTGAGCGACGAAAGGATCTGGAAGATGTGGCCTGGAGAAAGAGGATGATTTGGTCTTTCTTCGTAGCGAGATGGAGGGTGTGGTGGATGGAAGGCATATGTGCTATCACTGAGCCCACGATAAGAGACAAGATCATAGACTAAAGATCACCAACTCACAATGAGACCCACGCCTATTGGATCGGCAAGGAAAGCCAAAGCGTCTTGAAGGTCGGGCGGCGTGGTGATGAGCAGAGGGTGAGGTCCTTGACAATGGCAAAGGCAAAGAGGAGCGGCGAGTGCGAGTGTGAAGGATTCCTGTTGTGCGTGGTGTCTATTCCATCATCGCCAGCATGGTGATGGTGTATTCTTTGAAGACAGTCTTAGTCGATATGGTTGAGGGTGGGTAAAGATTGAAGCTTACCAGGACTGCCCAGCACCACAGTGGGCGTAATCCCAAAAGGTAATCCTGATGACGATGACAAGGGTCGATGCCACCCAGGGTAGCGGTGTCGGTCAAATATGGGTAAGGCGCGGTGTTGTCGATAGCGAAGCAGCGAGTCCTCTAGGGAGGATAAGAAGTGCCATGATACCTACAGGAGATCAACGGCGAGGGAGAGGGCGAGGGCGTGTAAGAGGACGATAGCGACGCGGGGCTCATCGAAGTAGGGGTGAGAGGAGCCGGGGAATCGCCAACAAAATTGTGGGGGTTTATATAGCCCAAGGGACCCCTTCTCGGAACGCTTTCGGTCAGCCTCCATCAGCTCGATCGAAGATTAGATTCCTGTCATCCACAAGGCGCTGCCTAGGGACGTCAGGAATGCAATTGGTCAGCTGCAAACAATAGCAGCCTGGGTACCTGACAGCCTGAGGGTCCTAGTTATCGATAAGCTCCGTGAATACAAGCGAGCCCACAACGCATAACGGCCCACAACTGGACTTCGTGATTATTCTGTAATTATTACACACGTGAAGCGAACTTCAAGCGACATCTGCCTATCTCCGAGTCTCCGTCGACATCACCCATCCAAGTCATAGAATGACATCTACAACATGAAAGGACATCTCTCCTCCTCCTACTACGCGGCAATCCTACATTTATCTCACAAAACTAGCAAAAAGCTTAACAAATATTCTTCTAACAGCACGACTTGTTCACAGCTACTCCCTGTCAACTTGAATTACCGTCGCCAACTGCGCACCCCACTTCTCCTGACTCAAGGACTCTGGACCCAAGGGCTTTCCGCCCCTCTTGCCGGTCTGCGACTGCAGCTCGAAAGGCGACTCCTCCTGGAGGATGCTGTCGAAATAGGCTGGGCGAGTAGACAGGAACAGTTTGAAAAATCCCAGATCCTTCTTCTCACCTTCTGGAAGGAGGAACTGCCAGGGTGTGATGCCGGGTTCGCCATATCCGATGGTCAACGAGGACTTGGGAGGCAGGGGCACATCCACTTTCGTTGTCAGAGCGCCTGCGCCTGCGCCTATGGAGGTTAAGTACCAGTCAACTGTGTAGTGTGTCAATCATTGCGGTGCAACAAAGCAAGGCTTGAGAACGAGACTTACTGATCGTCAACTCCGTTGGATCAAAATAGAAGAGGTAAGGGTACAATGGGAGGTCCGTCTGGTTGAAGATCGTCATCCCAAGACGCACCGACTCATCCACGACGATCGTCGCCGGTTCTTTCATGAGCAAATTGTTCCCCATTGGTGTCAGGATCTGGTCAAAGTCGCGGTTGAACTCTTCTTTCAATACCTTCATCTCCATCCACACATTCTTGAAGTTGTCATCACTGGTGCGAGTCAGGTGGTAATAAAAATGGCGTGTGGCTGTAACAACCTCCCGGATGGTGGCAATGTCTCCAACACTGACTGAATGACGGATGCGTGTTGGAAGATGGTCAGTGACCAGCTGTTGGTGCCGGTCAAAGTGCACCCTTCCATCCTTGACCGTGATTTCGAGGTCGCACTGTTGGACATCGTCGACGACAATGATACTCCATTTTTTGCTGAAACCTGCGGGGAAAGCTGAGGCAAGCAAGGCTTTATCCTCGCAGAAGATGCTCATGGTGAATTCTGCAGCATATGTGAGCTTGGAATAGCAGGACGAAGGGACCTTGAATTTTGGCGCTGTCGAAAGTGGTTCCATGACCGAAGAGAACAGGTTTACAGACTTGACTTCTAATTCTCCAAGGCGTGGATTAAGGGGCGATTCAAGGAGGTTCATTGCATGAACGGCGAAGTGAGATCCAACGGTAATGCCTTGGGCAATACCGGCTTCCATGGTGATAGTACTAATGCCATCCTTCGAGTTACGCTTTGTAAGGATGAAAGATGGGTCAGCACCACTTGCATTCTTGTTGAAGAGACGCCAATTGACGCCAACCCCCTCGCAATGCGGAGTTTGCCTGGAGTCATATTTCACTTTTGATCTGTCAGATAATTACACGGAACATACCAGATGGGCATCTTTAACTTATGCATAAGCGATGTATACGTCAGTGTATTCAGGTCTTGACTCTCGAGGACCTTCAGTAGGCTGGAGGTAAAAAGACCACGGTTCGTCTTCGGGTTCTCGCGAGCGGACTCTTCGCGTCCGCAGGCGGCCAGAAGGACATGAGATGAGTAGTATCTGCCTGCATATCCATCTGGAACGATGCCGCCTCTCGCCCCCCGAGCCCAAATATTTTGGTCGCCCGACGGCCGCAACGGAGGAGGGTTCTTGATCTGACGAGCGACGTAGTTCTCGATTGGCATATCAGAGTACAGATCCAGACTTCGACTTATGCCTCCAGAGCTGCAGCAATCCATGATCAAGGTCTACGATGAAGATCGGTGAATGGATGTTCTCTATAGATCCACTTCGACGAACTTACTATGTTGTTTCCCCTGGAATCTGAAATATGATTCAAGAGCACAGAGATTGTGCGATCCGGTATGGCATCAACGACGGTCTCAACCTGTTTTCCATCGACCTCGGTGACGGCCCTCGCTCCAAGGTCGCTTGGGCAGAGCATCTCGATCTTGCCTGTGCTCGTCGTCCAATCGCCCCACTCCTTGGGGGGATCGTCCTCTGTACCATGACCTGCATAGAAGATGGTGATCGCCGCCTCGTCCTTTTTGTATTTAGCATTGTCCCTAAGCGCCAGGAATGCATCCAAGATGCCCTCGCGGGAGGCCTCTTCGTCACGCAGATTTGTTATGTTCGATGGGGACACATTTAATTTTTCTTTGAGGAATGCCTCGAAGGCGTTGGCGTCGCCCACAGCGCCACTGAGGTCAGGCCAGTCATCTGAGTAAGGGTACTTGTTGATCCCTATGATAAGGGCCAGGATGGGTGGGTTGGTCAAACTGCAAATGAGCGGTCACCTCGATGGTCGACGATTCGTGAGAGCTAGTAAATCTGAACTCACGAAGGATTATTGGGCTCCATTGGGTGGGTGGGTGTTGTGTTGGTGTTGCTGATACACCGATGAGACTAGATATAGTCATTGCCGGGGTGTATGTTATAGCTTGTTGCACAGCGTTTATAGCTCGTTGCAGTGTTGCACAGTGCTGTTTTTAGCAGGCCCTTGCACCCAACGTAGCCTCTACGTTCACTGGAACATCAGATTCGCAAGTCGCACACCCTTGGGTGAATATACATCGATCCGTATGAAGCTGGGGGGAGGGTGCATCCAACTAAGGTTCGTAGGTGACTGGTGAAGCCATTGTCGTACTAGTACGGTGTGTGGATGTCGGATGGCTGTAGCGTGGGATGGTGTGAGATGGTGCCACAAGAGCTCGCTAGGCAGAAATAGCCTTCGGAGCTGGCATGTCACGACGGAAAGGGCGTTGCAAATGTGGGGGAAGAAACTTCGAAAAGTCGACGCAGGTCGGCGCGTCGATACGAACTAATCATCCCACGGTGACCAAGCTGGCCCGGGAAAGGCTCTTCCAATTTCCAAACCTCTGCGCACGAAAATCGTGGAGGACGTTCCGTTATTCGAAAGTTCGAGCCGTTCGAGCCGTGCGAGCCGTGCGAGACGTACGAGCCATAGGTGGCTGTGACCTCAACCCCTCAGGGCCATGCCAGTGGCCCCAGCAGAAAGTAACTTGAGTAGAAAATAATAATTATGATTAGCTCGCTAGTTCCTGAGACTATATAACGCCAAAGGATAATCTGATACAAGCTCGACAACCCACAAATTAAACTGGGTGGCAGGGTTAGCAGGCATTAACTGGCCTCGTCGATGACGGCGGACAACACGGAGTTCCTTCGCAGAAGACCCCTCTCAACAATTCAAAACTGTCATCCTTCATAATTTAATGAACGTATATCTTCAATTTCTGGCATGTTAATCTAAGGTAGGCGAGCAAGCCAGAAAAGCCAACAATCTAGGGGGGGCTGACGTGAAGGCAGCACAACCGCCCGCCCAGCACTGTCGCAGGCGTTCATCCCGCCATGTAAACTCTCCGAGGAACAATAACAGAAGAAATGCATTTAATTGCTATTTACAACGGCGGGATGAGGGTAGCTCTTGGCGGCAGCGTGGCTCAGAGAGATAGCCACTACTAGTACTCCCCATACTATAACCATATTCCTTGGCGCCCTGTCCGTCATGCCAATCCTCGACGCCAACCTTCGCTCACTCGAGCTCCTCCTGCTCGTCCACTCAGAACGTATCGTACCGTTGATGTTCGTGTTCGTGGGCTGCCCAGTTGTGAGGATTCTGTTGTCGAGCTTGAGGTGGTAGTTGGGTTAGGTGTGGGGATGGCGGGACGGCATACGAGTAGGGTCGTACGAGGAGGGTAGAAAAGGACGAGGATGGGAGAGAAGGGCGAGGACGGCGTGGGCAAACGCGAAGGTCCGGATGCGCGCTGTCGCGGCTGCCCTCCTCCTGTCCCTTGTTGCACTCGCGGTGTCGTGTTCAAGCCCGCACGTCCAGGCCTCTCGAGCTGTTGCGTGTTGCCAAAGATCGGGTTGGCGGGGAAGATGATGGTAGGTATCTGTGGGTGCTGCATGCGAAGGGTGGAATGAAATGGGGAAGGCGCGGTCGGAGGGGTTGGCAAGCGGATTCGCCCTCACCCTTGTCTTTCTCGCCCTTGCCTTCCTAGCCCCTCCTCTCCCTCTCCCGCTCCCTCCGTCCTTCAACTCGCCATGTCGTGCTCAATTTCGTGTCGTCACCGACCTCGTACTCACCCAGTGCTACTTCCTATGGCATGTTAGAGAGGGAAATATCCTGTGATTTGCTTCAGAGGGTGGAGGACACTGACGGTGAGGCCAAGGTGGGGTAGACAGCGGTGTCGAGCGGTTGGTCGGCAAGCCCCTCTGCGTTAGCTAAGCAGGCAGGCTCCCTTGACTTCCCACTTGCGTGGGAAAAACTCGAGATATGTGGGCCGTGACATCTCCCCTCGATTTCTACCTTGTGCCAACGTCAATCGTCCCCAGCCCTTTACACTGTTCCATCCTGCAATGTCTGGCGTGAAATTGAGGCTATTATGCCTAGTCTGGCCTGATGACAGCCCGGATGAACACACTGTCGAGGTCAAAATCAATAACGACGACACTGTTGCCACTCTCAAGGAATTGATCAGAGACAAGCATGCCCCTCTGCTCGATAAAGTCGCTGCCCGTGATCTCGTACTCTGGAAGTGTTCCGGTCTTCCTGATGATAATCTGGAACAAAGCTTGAAAACTCTTCAGTTCGATGGTTCTGACGTTCGCCTTGTTCGCCTACACATTGCCCGGTGGAAAATTTCTCAGTTTTTCAATGAAGACTTATCCAAAGAACCCCTCCACGTCCTGGTTGAGGCACCCGCGCTTGGTGAGTGTGGCCCCCGTATCTCCTGTTCCATGCTGAAGGGACAATGCCAGGCACTGGAAACCACCAGCGACTTCCCTTACTCTCGCCAGAGCTGCGCAAAGGTTCGGCTCATAATTCATTTTCTGTCCATGGTTTCACTTCTTAAGCACTGCCTCCAGAACTTGAAACGGCATGGACCCAGGAATACCAGGGATCAACTCATCAAACCCTCCTCAGCAACATCGAATCCGATCCACGTAGATCGCCTTATTGCAACACTGGGGCCATCATCCAGTCATCTGGATACGGAAAGTCTCGTACGGTCGACGAGCTTGCCAAGCTTGTGTTCACTATACCAATGAACCTTCGGGCCGAAGCTGAAACTCAACAAGGTATGTAGCGTCGCTTCTCGAGTCCTCGTTCTTGACCATTAAACTGTCCGAACAGGCGCATACCCTCTTCCAGACACATGCATTGCGAAGTCGATACTGTCAATGGCCAAAGCGACTTCTGACGACGACGTAGTGACGATGTTCCACATGCTCTTTTGCACCTTGTTCGAACGGATTGTGGCAGAACTGAATTCCACTGACTGGGCTTCGGACATCCAAGCCCAAGATTTTGCTACTCAATGGCGAAAGCATTTGCTGGAGGGTGGTGTTAGGTCCGAACTCTATTCCAGCGTTATTCGTGATGTCGAGCCACGATTCCGAATGGACCTACCATCGTCAGCTAAGAGCGATGCAGTAACAGCCTTGCAGGCGCTCATTAGGCGGATCCCAGTTGCTAAAGGAAAAGCTCCGTTGTCGGTTGTGATGTATGTTGATGAAGCCCACGAGCTCGACGTCCGGGCCATAAACTCAAGTCGCAACTTAACACTCTACGACCTCTTCACCATGGCCGTATCCGAGTACGATGGGAGCTTCTTTGTTTTGTTCCTCTCTACAGTTTCACGGATGGGCCAACTTGCCCCCCTAACCAAAATCACGCGCTCTAATAGGACCGTTGTGGCCGGCGATCTCATACCCCCCTACACTGAAATGCCTTTTGACTGTCATCCATCATTGCCGGTGTCGTCTCTGGGGGAGTTGACTCTCAAGGACGTGCAGGATTTCAGCTTCATTGCCCGATTTGGGCGTCCCTTGTGCGTATCTCTGTCTAATGTCATTCATCCACTGCTCATCTCACTTGCCAAATCAGATTTTGGTCTATGCTTGAAGCAGCTCAGCAGAGGTCTCCAGAATCTCCTCCTCATGCAAAAATCAGGATCTTTGCTCTGCAAAAGTTGACCAACTCGCCCCGCATTTCAGATTTGAACTTGCATGCAAAGCTGGCTATCCTCGACACCATCTTAAACCTGGAGTTCCACCCTTTCAGAGCTCAAACAGTTTCGCTGATGGAGGACCTAATCTCCAGCCATATGCGTACTGCCTATTCTGCCCCGATACATCGAGAGTATCTGCACACAGGTTATCCGTCGGAGCCTGTGCTAGCAGATGCGGCCATGCAGGCACTGTACCTCACCGAGAGTGCAAGTAAGAGCCTGGTTCAAGATGCGGCGGCCGAGTTCTTCTCTTCCCTCGATGCTGGGCCAACAAAGGGCGCAATTGATATGGGTCAACGAGGCGAGAATGTTGCAAAAATGATACTCGTTCGTGCGTACATGACCGCCGTGAGGGCGGCCGATATGCAATCTTATGGCGACCTCAACTGGAGCTCGGGCTGCTCCCTGGTGACATTTTTGAAAAGCTTGACTGGGAGGAAGTTCCAGGAACTGGTATTGGACTGCAAGCCCAACAACCTGCTAGCTTCCGAAGGACAGCCCCTGAAGGAGGCCTTTGCGAGATCTTGGGTTCGGTTCACACATTTTGGTCGAGCAGCAGATGACGGAGCAGTTACTACGTCAGCCGCTTGCGCTGCTTTTGTCCGAGCAATGAGCTTCATTGGCTGGTTGTCACAGAAGTCGGTTGATGTCTGCATTCCCATTCTTCTTGACATCGACAAACCGATCACCGAGGCCAACATGTCCACCATCCTTGTACAAATCAAACTTCGATCCAAGAAAGGTTCTTACGAAATTGATGCGAAGAAAATTGGGTTGTTTCCTCCCCCAGGATCATCCCGCGATTGCATGAAGACGAAGATGGGTGTTGAGTCAGAAAAGTACTTCAGCCGACCTTATATCTCGCTGGTTATGGAGCTTGGGGTCGGAAAAATCCGCGACACGAAATCTGTCTTCGTCCAGGAACACTTAGATCAAAACTCTCAGGCTGTCTCCACAAGCAACAAAGTGTCTCCCCCTCGCATAGGCGTTGTAGCTTATCAACCACCGACCAGAATCACCTCTTGTCCCACCCCCAAGGCGATTCACCCTCGATACTCTCTCTGTTTCTATGGCTGCACAGCTGAGGTTTATGGATGCATTCATGAGGCTGCGGCGAGTATATATGAATCACTTCTTCAGCTGTCTGATATGGTTCCGGACCATCCTCGACCATCCAGCTTCTCAGTGGTTCTACGCATGAAGCCCTTCTGGAGAACTAACAACGAATCATATGATTGGTTCAACGATTCATGGCTTCGGGCTGATGAGAATGAAGTGGAGGAAGAGGAGGATATGGTGCTGGAGAAGGTACAGGACGAGAAGCAGAATTCGGCCATGGTTGTGGACTAGCTTGGCTGTTGGGTGGATTTGTCCTGGATGTACTAAGGTAGAGGCCATCAGGAACCAGCTAGCTTATATAATTGTATTATATAAGCGCCAAGGGTGGCAAAATCTCGCTCTCGAAAATTTTCAAAAATTTTGACCCTCGGAATACAAGTCAGAGTACAGTAGAATATTTACTTGGACCCCCCAAACCTCTTTAAGAACTCCTCCTTAAGTTTAGCAACAACAGACGCAGGAAGTGTGCGATGGCCGTGATATTTCCTGTTTGCCCACGCTGCCTCGGGGCCTGTAAGTCCCTGGAAGTATCCGTTGATAAATCGAGCAGCGCGATTGGCATATCTAATCAGCGCGTTAGATCCATTTATTGATGGAAGTGAAAATAAACACTCACCGTTTGATTGAAACATCAGGAACATCGTCGAGGCAGGCAAGTACATTCCTCTCCATCTCCTTTATATCAGTTGTCTTGGGGCTATTCCGATACTGAAGCTTTGCTGCCCCCCAATACTGCTCAATGAAATTGAGTTCACAGTGATATTTTGGGTAGAAGTCACAAATGTGACCGTGGGAAGTGATTAACTCTTCAAGGCAAGACTTCTGATTTACGAAATCGGGCTGTGTGAATAGAAGCCGTCGACAGCAGCAGTCCGTCTTCCCAGGCTCACACTTGAACCCCTCACACTGCGCGTTGAGCCCCCGCTGTGGCCACAGACTGCGCTCCCGGATAATATTCTCCATCCCTTTAAACCAGCCCGGCATGGTGGGGTGATCATCTGGGTAATAGAAGTCTTTGTTGGAGTTAGCCAACCCAGCATTTACTCGAACTTACCAGAATATTTGATTAGTAATATTCTGACTCACTTAGCATAGCCTCGGACAAATAGGAAATTAGTAGATAGTACTAGAATATTGTAGATACATAATTGTACAGTATAAAAGAGCTCTGTAGGAGCCCCGCAATATTAATCCTTTCTTACCTTCTGACCACCACTGCGCCAACAGGTTATGGGCCCCGAGCCTCAGTAAAGCGTGTCTCACCACCGTTTACTGCTTCCATCTTATCTCGCTCTCGTCCTTCCCACGCTCATTATCATTATCTTATCTAGCTACCCTATCATCGCACCATAGCCATGGATCGCACACTACTTACCATCCCCAAACTTACTAGTCATAATTACCATGACTGGAAATTTGCCGTCAGCATGGCATTGCGCATCAGGGATTGTTGGGATGTTATAGCCAATGGATCCGAGAAGAAACCGGCCGGCGACGCACTCACGGAATGGACAAAGAAAGCAAATGATGCGCTTACCATCATCGCTCTCACGGTGGACCCGAGCCAGTACACCTACATCCAAGATTGCACCGATGGAGTAACCACATGGCAGAGGCTCAAGGATATCTACGAGAAGAATTCTCGTGCAACCCGAATCTCCCTCAAGCGCCAATTCTACGGCTTCGAGCACGATATAAATATGCCAATGCAGGATTATGTAAATGGCATTACAGATTTAGCCGCCAAGCTCAACGCGATCGGAGTTACCCTAAATGATGAAGATATCACCAACGTCCTTATCTTCAATCTCGACAAGGAATATTCGAGCATCGCCGCATCCTTATCAGCTGGCAAAACAGATCTCAAAGTCGGAGAAGTTGTTAGCACCCTTCTCGAGGAAGAACAACGGAAAGGGGGAGCACCCGATGTAGTTACCGCCCTTTACAGCAACGGCATCAATAACAATGGCCGAGGACCGCCGGGCCGACGCGGACCGAATCGTGATCGACGCGAAGGAATCATCGAAATGCGCACATGTTACCTATGCGGATACAAGGGACACATTCTCAAGGATTGCCGCGCCACGAAAACCAAAGATGGAAAGGTTATTACCACCAAAATGACTATTGCCGCCCTCGAAAGAATCAAGCAAGAACAAGAAATCGCCAAGTCGAACTATGTATCCGAAATCGGCGAGACCCTGAATGAATTCGCGTATTGATCGACCAATCAAAATTAGCGCCTGTACACATTTGCGAAGCACCACGGAAATGCTAGACTCATGGTTGAGGATCTCCCAGGTCTATGCATGATTGAAGAAGATTTATTGGAGGTTGAGGCTCTCCCTCCCTGATGGAATTTGGACAGCAGGTTGAGGATCTCCCTGCAGAATTGATTTTTGGGAGAAGGTTTGAGGATCCAACACAGAACTTCGAAATTGGAGGTTTGAGGAACTCCCTCCAGAAGGAACAGATTTATTTGGAAGCTCAGCTGAAGGTTGAGGATCTCCCTTGCAGCTGTGAGCAATATTTTCGGACATTTCATTATCAGTTTCTATTTTTGGACTACGACCATTTTTCACCTCACTCGGAATGCTGGATTGAGGGGGAGTGTTGGAGTTAGCCAACCCAGCATTTACTCGAACTTACCAGAATATTTGATTAGTAATATTCTGACTCACTTAGCATAGCCTCGGACAAATAGGAAATTAGTAGATAGTACTAGAATATTGTAGATACATAATTGTACAGTATAAAAGAGCTCTGTAGGAGCCCCGCAATATTAATCCTTTCTTACCTTCTGACCACCACTGCGCCAACAGTCTTGGATAGTGCTGTGCTCACCGAAGCAGGTGGTCCTCATCTTTGGGCCATCTTTGTGATGTGTCCATGTTGCATGGGCATTTTTGGGCATTTTCCGAGCAGAGAGGGCATCCATTGCCCGCTTTTGGTGACTCGGTGCATTGTCAAACAGGAAAAGACCAGTTGCAAAGCCATTGGTGAGTCCCTCAAAAATGTCAATAGCATGATCCACTTGACTGATCAGATCGTCATTGTCGAAGTAACCATCCCGATTCTTCCCCGCTCTGAAGAGGATACGTGCCTCGCTTTTTTCACTCGATGATCAGCCTTGAGTGGTGGATAATCATTTGAATGTTACTCACTCATCTCCGTCTTTTAGCCGCCCCCAATCAGGTGTTAAGAATTCGGACACCATGATCGATGGCCCCTCTCCTTTTCTCTCTGTTGTCACCTTTTCTTGGAAGTGGGTCCACTTTGTCTTGCGTCTGTCGTTTTCATAGAACGTTGATTCATCGTGTGTGACCAGGATCAAGCGGAAGCGGCCGATTTGAGGGACAGGGAAGCCAGCTGGTTTAGAGAGTACGTTGCCATCATTGTCATAAATAATGAAACGCTTCTCATATTCCTGCCAGCGTGACACAAATGCTTTCTGATAAGCAACCACATCCTCCCTTTCATGGCCATCAATGTACATGCCATTCCGTTTGCGGGTATATCGCCAGTTCAGCTTCTTCAACCAGCGTCGAGCCGTTCGAATGGTGATTCCTTGTGCCTTCACCCCAAGCTGCTCCTGGACATCCTTTGTGGCAACGTAGTCAACAATGTCCTGTGCCCGGATGTAGCCATCTTTTGCCTTTTCTGTCAAGTGTAGCTGGATATCCCGGGCAAAGTCTTCATCATCGAGGATTGAGGAGTTGTAGGAGCCATATCGGTGAAGGGGCAGTTTCCCAGATTTCAAAAACTGACAGATCCACTTTCGTAGGTTGCGTGCGTGATTGGGTCCTCGTCCTGCAGCTTTTGCTGCAATCAGGGAAGCCTCCTGCCATGTATATGAGAGCTGTGAATCGAGATAAAGATTCAATGTCGCAACCATCCCTGTAATTCAGCTTCGGAAGAACACATCAAGCTTCTTGTCTTTGCTCTTGATGGTGAGTTTTGCGAGTGCACGACGCAGCATAGGAAAGTCCTTGTAGCATAATCCATTCAACAGGACATCAGTCCTTGTCTCAGGGCTGTCATCCAAAGGGCAACATCCGTTCCGCAACTGCTTCAGGAGCTCTTCAACTTCCTCCTTTGCAGATCTCACTCGTGTGTCACTCTGGGTGCCTGTAGTGTCATGCAACGGCCCCAGGTTCATCTAGTCTTGTTGGTTAGTCCTCAATTAAGCTTTTGACATGCATCTGGACTGACTTCATTGCTCAATTCATCTCTTTCAGGGAAGAGCCGGCCCATGCTTGCCTCAACATCTTCGGTGGGTGGGTCTTCAGGTGATGAGTCTGAGTCTGAACCAGATTCATCCTCGGAGACCGTCTTTTTGGCTACTGTGAACCAGGAATTAATAAATTGTTGTCCAGCTGCTGCTAACTTCTTCCGATTGAAGGCATGGAGCCGTTGGCTTCGTTTCGAGTTCCCAGTGTAGTGCTTTGGGCGGTTGGGCTTATTAGCTGCTGCTTCACATTCAGCCTTTACAGCAAGAGCTTGAGCTTCACAGAGAACAGCTGCGAACTGATGAATGTCGCTCTCATTCTTCAGCCCCTCTAGTTCTTCCTCATCAACCTCCACCTCCTCCTCATCCTCTGGGTCCCAGTCCGAGTCTGAATCCAAGTCTTCATCCAGGAAGAAGAAGCCTTCTTCGAGGAGTGGCTGCCTGTTGCTGGTAGGGATGTAATCTTCATCTTCTGACTCGCTCACATCTTCTACAGTGGGTTTATAGGACCTTCTAGGGTGGTTGAGGTTCCCAAGATGTGCAGTAGTTGCTTTGGAGTGTCGGCCCATGTCTGAATGTGCAGAGAATGGTTATTTTGTTGCCATTTTGTGGCAGTTTGTGGCCTTTCCTCCTCCCCCTAAGTCATGTGTATGCATTATGTAAGTGGCAAAATCCACCGCGTCGCATTTTCAAAAAGAATATTGCCTTTACGAAAATGGGTTTTATTGCATTTACTACACTTTTCATGGTCAAATTTTTGGACCCTTATTTCTTGGCCCCAAAGCAAAAATTCAAATTATTTTTTCCAGGGATCTCTTCTTTGGAATGTATTTTACAAGTCTTAGCACTATGATGGGGAATTAATTCAGTGTTGAGGCTGCAATTCGAGGCGACATTGCAAAGGTTTTTGGATTACATAAGCTAGCTGGTTCCTGATGGCCTCTACCTTATGTACAAGTGAAATTGAATTCCCAGTTGAGATCAAATTTTCTTGTGTTTCGGATGAGCTTAAAGATTTGTGTGGTGAAACCAACTTCTGTTATGCGAAAGAAACTCAATATCATTGAGTCAGAATTGCACAGACCAATGTCACTCCCACCACTGACTGACAACCAGGCTTTCTGCAATGTATCCGCCCTTGATGCTGGCATAATCGGCCTGCTGGACGAAATGTTCATTATCAATGCGAAGCCAGGATATGTCACCACCGCTCCTTCCCTCTCCTTTCTGCTCCAGCACTCTCAGAACGTCAAGATGCTCGTATTCGATCTCGGAACACGCAAGGAAGTACTGGGTCAAGTACTCGCCAGGCGTGAGTCATTAAATTGATAACCGGCAGGAGGTACCCCGTCCAAGTTGACCTCGATGTCGTCGATTCCCTGCAGAAGGGCGGTACCTCGCCCACAGAGATTGACTATGTCTGTGTCTCGCATTGCCATTGGGACCATGTCGGCGACACCACCCTACCCAGAAGACCCAACCTCGCATTTCACGTCCGACCTCTTCCCATTGGTTGGTTGGTTGGTTGTGAAGTCACCGGTGTGGTCCCCATCGAGAACTACCGGCCCGTATGCAAGCATACTGGAAGGCAAACCAGCTTCTTACCGCCTAGACACCCGCGCAGAAGTTAACAAACACGACGAGGCGAACGTGAATCTCAACATACCGTTTCGAACCTGGTCCTGGCCCCTGGGGGTCACAGAATCTCTCTAGCATAGATATGAGGACTTGCTCGGGACCTTTGACTTCCACCAAAGAATAGTACGAAGCATCATGAAGAATAGCATCATGAACGGCGGCTCTATGGGAGGGCTGATACGCCTTTTCCGTAGGACGCACTGCCTACAGCACAGTGTCGGTGACATCCTTTGAATAGTATGCGGCTGCACGCACCAGGCGATAACCCCATATTGTTTCCATTTGGACACATTTTGCATGCCACAAATGTGTTTCAAGCCAGGATTTGTCGCCTTCGAGTCGTGTTACTCGTTGAAACGATTGAGAAAGGGAAAACCTACGTATTCTCTTGAGAAACGAATCTGTTCCTAGTTGTGCGTCTGGCACTCCCTCGTTTCAATATAGAGCGACCTAATGCTTTCTTGCGTACTGCATCCATCTCCACAAAACAATCAGAGAAATTGTCAAATACGAATAAATGCGATGTATACCTCTGCTCGTGCTCTGTCCCTTAATTTGAGGGGCACTCTCCGAATATCATGACTAGCGGCTCTCCGCATCAGATGCCTTGGAAGGGTCTGCCACACCCGATGCGTCGAACTAGCGCTAAATTCTAGTTCAGGTTGAATTTAAGTATGTACGGATTCAAGAGCCCACCTAGCCATTTTTATGGTGGTATGCATAGCGTCAATTTCGAAAGCCCGGGCCTGATGTTTCCTCGCCACTTAGCACAACCATCCCAATAGTTTTGCTCAAGATATACCTCAATGAATCTTTCGAGATCAATGGTACTGGGTAATCCAGTAAGACCTAAGAGCACTTTCAGTCAAGCCGCAGTACAGACACAGTATTGACAGCATACTGTCAAATTGAACTCTCTTGGAACTCGTTTTGCGAACTTGGTCCGGCTTGCAAAGAAGGTTGGACTGCGATAGTACGAGCCGCAGTCATCTTCAATTTCTTCTTTTCTCGTCCTGTCAGGTCATCGATTCCATCTTTGTTCCTCCTCTTCTGTGCCATAAGATTCAATGTCGCGTCGAAAGATCGGGTATGAAGCTTGAAGTTCGATGCAAGTCAGATACGCATGGTGTAAGAACGGGGCCCCAATTTAGAGAGCACGTTGTTTCGTGTGGAAACGGGGTTGTCCCGACCAAATACTCGGATTGAAGAACAATGATAGGATGAGGTTGAAGGCGAAAGACCGCGATGCGGAAATTGGAATTATTCCACAATGCGCATGTGATCAGCAGCGACCGCTCTGTTGGTGGCAGTGAGTCGGAGAGTGACGACAGTTGGCCGGCAGTTAGACTCGAACCCATTCTCGCTTGGGTTCACGGCTTCCTAATGGTGGGATTATTGTACTTACTAAAGAGAATGACACATCACTTTCCAAAGTACGGAAATGGATACTGTGATACGCGGGGAAATGAACCCAAGGAGACTGGTACGGAATTACACCACCATTTCCGCGAAACGCGTTAGCAGCGTGAAATTCTCATGGAGTTGAGGTATTTTTGGAATGTTGCGTCGACGTGGGCGGAATATTGTGGACAGTTTGACTCTGGGATTTGGACACCGTGACTACATTTAATGTGGGTAGCACTTGTAATCTGATAAGCCGTTCATGAATTTTGGTAGCTTAGACGGTTGCCTGTAACAATGTGCTGTCCATCTTCCTCGGCTTGTTTCTACCACCATCTAATTTGGTCTCATACCATGAAATTGTTTACTCTACCGGCATGTTTTTTGATGTGTTTTTGCGATACTTTTCGATAGATCAACTCCTTGCCTGTATGAACGCGTCGTTCGCATTTGTAGTTGGCGCCGTGTGATCCAAAGTAAAAGCGAACATTCACTCCAATTTCCCCCCCTCAATTACCCGTCGTAAATGAAATCGTTTACATTATTAGAATCATGTCTCAGGTCCGCTCAACTGTGCTTTTGCGATATGTTTCAACAGCTCAGCTACTGGCCCGTATGAATGTGTTGTCCAGATTGGTACCGGGGCGCGTGCGATGCACTGTAAAGGCGAACATTCGCTACAATTTCCAGCCCATTGTTTGCAGTTACAAATTGCACTTCAGCCATGCTGACTCACAAGGCGGTAGCTAATCATTCAACCCAGCAAGGACTGACTCTCCTGAATCACTGTCAGTTATTATTGCAGAGGGGTTCAACAATTTGTTAAACACAAAAATCCTACAACATTTCAAGCCCTCGGCACCTGTCTTAAGCAAGGTCAGTTAGGTTATTAGAGCAGTGTTTCTCAGGTTGGGACTGGCATGAAAAATGGCCCATACAAAATGTGCATTTATCAAAAGAAGTCGCATCGATGCCCTGTTATTATCACACTATATCTATCCCTGCAACTACATCATCAACACGCTGCTGCCACTCATCGGGAACAGTATCCCCAATCACATATTCTTCCGCCGCACCGTATGTAGCTCGATCAATCTTCAGGATTTCATTGAATGCCCTGCATAGAATGTCAGCTAATTATCAATGAAGAAGAATGAAGGGATGGTAGCCCACCTCGCTGTTTTAGAGGCCGAGGATCCTGCTCTTGTTCGGATAAATTCAAGGCGTGCATCGGTCAGATTCCAAAATTTTTTGCCACCATTGCATTCGGCGTGAACCACATGCTAAAATTGCTCCAGTTCAGAAGGCAATATTGTGGACAAAGGACAAGAAGACACTTACCATGAGCGCAACACGGGAGCACAGCTGGATCGTCGTGCGACAAGGTGTGGAGTGAACAATCATCTGCGCAAGCGAAAATATATTGGTATTTGCCTTTATACTGTCTTTAATCTGTATAACAATAAAGCGTAAGCGCTCCATTGCTCCATTGAAAAGAGGAATAATATTAATACACATACCAATTTCTTCACTCTGGCACGGGTTTGAGTTAGTGAATAACCGACAAACGTTGATATCTTCTCCCAGTTGGCATAATCGTGCTCAATGCCCGCTGGCAAATCAAAACGATACCTCTTGAGAATATCCTGTAGGAAGATTAATTGCAACATTCCTGTAATAGACAAAATACGGACAAGAACATGGTTACGAGGGATGTCGCCCTTATAAGCACTGACATTGATGGAAAGCAAGACGGCTATGCCATAGTTAGTGATATTGGTCTATTATATAAAGCAGTTTAGCTGCGAGACACTGGGGACAGGATTGACACATACTTTAAGCTCGTCAGATAATTGGTAGGGTGGTGCAGCTGATCGGAAAGTATCGATTTTGTTTTCTAAGGACAGGATGCATGCAAATAACTTGGCCTGTCGTCCAAGCACCGTGTCCTGGTCGATGTTTAGACACGAGCGCAAAAGATACGTTAAAGGAGTACTCACCAACAAGAAGGCATCTACCTCATCACGTTGCTCAGGACGAAGCTTCTTCTTCGATACATAATGTAGAGTCGCAGCTGCTACATTGCTAATGGAAGGCAATGATTGAGGCTGCATTGTCGAAGGGGGTCCGTCATCAGGTTCAGTATCATTACCATCTGTTGAACCATCAACTTGACGCGTTCGCTTCCCAAGAACCAGTTCTGGGGTCAGGCTTGACCTCATCATGGCATCTTCCATAGCTTGTTCGGCTGGTGAAAGGAAGATAAAGGCCCCTTCCCTCCGAAGCAGGGGGCGGGGCTGCAAACTGGGAATTGGTTGAAGAGATGTTTGAGACACACCAGCAGTAGCAGGGCCCGGATGGGGAATGGGTGTTGGGGAAGGCACCATTGCGAGAATGATGCAACAAAGGGAGAGACCTGGAACTGAATATATATCATAAATTCCAAAAATGACTTGACGGTTTTAGTGACTCGAGAGGATTGTAAGTGACTCCATAAGATATAGCAAACAAAAACTTACTAATAACGGAGCGAAGGAAATGTTGGGAAATAGAAAAATGCTTTGGGTT